AGGTGAATTTCTGACCATTTGTAGGTCAAATAGATTAGTGGCCTAGAAAACTCATATTGCCAAAGTGAGGCCACCATGTTAAAATGGCTTAAAAACACACCATGTTAACATCAGATCATTTTCAGGTCAAAAAGTTTGGTGGCCTAGAAAATTCATGTTGGAAAAATTAGGCCACCAGGTCACATGGCCTAGAAAAAAAAAGATGAGATACGATTTTTTACAAGTAATTCCGGCGGTTAATAGCATTTTTTTTGTCGATAATTTGTCGACAAATGCCCCCTTCGACAAATTTATCGACAATTTGTCAACAAAATTTTGTCGATAAATTTGTCGATAAATTACTTTCGACAAATTTACCGATAATTTGTCGACAATTTATCGACAAAATTTGATCGTTTTTTATCGACAAATTTATCGATAATTTGTCAGGTAAATTTGTCGACAAAATCGGAAAATCTTTGTCGATAAGGCACACAGGTCGTGACAAGGGAAGTGTTTTCAGACAGTGTTTGAGAATTTGTTCAAACTTTGGTCATTGGTACTTTTGGACACGCTGATCACAGCGCTGCTTTTATTTTTTGCCCCTTGCCCCTCACAAAAAAATTTATGGGCTCTGAAAGTGATTTCAGTGCTATTTCTCACTTTTGGAGTGGATTTTTGGAGGGGTTAATAACAGTTGTTCGGAGTTGGGGTACCCCCTTTGGAAATTTTTACAATTTTTTGAAAAATTTTCAAATGTGCTAAAATGATTTCTAAACCTAAAGAACCGATAAAATTATTCTTTTCATGAAATTTGGTATTCTAAATATTTCTGGAAATCACAAATATGTGCTTTCTTTCAAAACTTTTACTGCGGTAATCACCCAGTAGCACTCAAATCTTGTAAATACATAGGTTTAAATAATTTCTGACTAATTTACTACTAATCCGCATCCAAACTGAGCAAATCTGGGTGGTTCTGACTAACAATTTGATTAAAGATGGTTTTCCAGCAGTTTTTCAAGAAAATTTCAAAATGATTTCTTGGGTTTTTTTTTTGAAACAAGTCAAAAATATATTTTTTTCAAAATTAATAAAAATCTGAATGGAAATTTTTTCTAAAGGTTTTGACACACTTTGAGATTTCCAGCAAGATCAGAAAAAAAGCAGAAAACAAATCGGGGAAAAAGGGATCGAACTAACCCTTGTCAGTTACCACCATCCCTGTTCACCACTACACCACACTCGCTGTTCCTCACTGCTTCCACAATTTGTATAAGAAAAGGGGAGATCGCGCTCACGCTTTTAATGCTTTAACAGAGGTGAAATTTCAGACGCGTTTTTTCAGCTACTAGGTACCGAGGGGCACAAAAAAAAGTCGTCTCGTTATTGACCATGTCCGAAAGTATATGTGTACCAATTTTCAAGAAATTCTCAACCACTGTCTGAAAACACTTCCCTTGTGAGTATATCTTCTGTTACTCAAACCTAAAAAAAAGCCATTTCCCACTGAAACGGTTATTTGGGACACTCTTCTCTGTTAAATTGGAAGCGATCTAAAATTTTTTAACCGTTTCATAAAGTTGTGAAAATGAAAATTTTTAACTCTCAAAATGTTTTATTTCGTTTTTATAGCTCGACAAGTCTCTGTGAAATATTTGGCAGGTAAACCGAAGGACGCAACACTTTTGGGGTCACTGGGGTACAAAGATATATAGAAGATGAAGCTGTGAAAATATCGAAATTCGTACAACTAAATTGCTTCTTACCCCCGCTCCACCCCCAAATTGATGTACCTCCGAAATGTTTTGAAGTGCCTAAACATTTTGAAAGTTGGTTAAAGATATTTAATTGAGCTATTTCCAATTTCTGCCAAATTATTTTTTATCAGAAAAGTGACCGAAGTAAACGTGACTCAAATTGCAGTTCTAATAATTTCTTGGAAGCTTCAAAATTGAGTGAAACTGTGAATAAATAGTCAAATTTCAAGGTGTTTCTAGACTTTCAAATTGCTGGCTCGCAGAAGTAAAAGATCTATAGAAGTTTTGTCCTTCTGTTCCTGAACATTTGAGGACTTCCTTAAAAACTTTTGTCAGGATTTCATATATAGAAACCTCTGAACCTTTGGGAAACATTTATTTCTGACTCATCTACGCGGTCGCTAATTCGTTTGATGTTCTACACAAGCCTGGGACGGATTTCGCCTTATTACTACCCCACCACTTATAATACCTGTTTCAGAACTGTGTTAAACAGAAACTTCAAGTTAAGGAGTCTGATGATATTTTCTTCTAGAGTAGTATAAAATGAGAAACTTTTCAACTTTTCTTACTGATCCAGAGATACAAAATTTCCGAAATCACCTAGCTAGATCAATCAAATCCATAATTGCAACGGGTCGGGCCAGGCCGAAAGAGGAATTTTCTCGGCCCGGCCCGGCGCGCCTCTCACAGTGGAAACATTTCCGATGAAAAATTGGGTAGAAATAAAAATTTACATTTTTGAACAAAAGTAACAGAGTGGAACGTAATCAAAAAATGTACTTTTTGCTGAAATTTTTGAAAAAAAATTTTAAAATTTTCGAAAAAAGTTCAACAAAAATCAGTGTCTGCAGGGAAGGCGGCCCGGTCCGCCAAAATTCTCGACGGGCCGGCCCGCGGGCCCGCCAGTGATTTGGCAACTATGATTAAGCCTGAGATTTGGCAACTATGATCCTCAATTGAATAAATCATTCAATCTTTTCTCATACTTCAAAATTTTACGAAACTGTGACCTAATTTGGAGAACTGTTTTTCAAATGATATGGATTCATTGACATGGATTCAAACGTGCTAAATTCAAACGTTCAAATGGATTCAAACGTTCAAATGACATGGATTCAAACGTGCGGTTTGTCTACTTCGAGTTTTTAGTTTCCTGTAGAATACCCATTTGATCGATAGTTTTTTTTTCATTAAAGATAAAAACAAATGTTCGAAATTCTTCTAAAAACTAGAAAATTCTGACGAAGTGCTCATGGCAAATATTAGTTTTTTCACCTGTTTCAAAACATCAAAAAACACATGGAAGTGAAGTAAACAGCAATAACTCAATTAGATTCATAGGGTAATCGCTGCGCATGGTATATGTGTTAGCGCGGCGCCGCATATGGACGACATCGGTACACCGGTTGCGCGCTATGTCGTCGCTATATGCGTGCACGAGCGATCGAAAGGCATATTGCGTCCATATTTTCCACTTCAAATTTCACAGAGACCATTTTTCTTGTTTTCAACAAATGCTCTCACATGTAAAAATTATGGCTGAAAGAAATATCTCGATTTAACATAATGTTTTAAAAAGTTAAAAAGACACACACATTTTGATAGAAAACTTGAAAAAAATCAACAAGTTTCTTGAAACTGGCATTATTTCACATCATTTTTTAAATGTGTTTTTCGGATTTTTTCTTTATTTTTTTACATCGTCATAACCGGAGAACTTACCAACAAACCTTTATTCCACCTGAAAAATAGTTATTCCGCATATTCCGAAATGAAATAGAAAAATCCCAATTTCAAGAAAAAAACTGATTTTTTAACAACATTTACCATTTCTTTACTAAAAATAAGTTGTATTTTTATCAGCCATAATTTTTTTAATGTGAGAACAGTGAGAAGTTCTTTGAAAACAAGAATGATGATCGATCGATATGATCGAAAAATTGATCAAGATCGGCGGTGAAGAATTCCGCTAAACAACGCGCACTAGCGTAAAAGCGGAGTGTCGTTGGTGGGATGTCGTTTTCATTGGAAAAGAGTGCATCCTATACGGATGCTATATGAGTGCTACCAGTCTACCAGTCGTACCCAGAGTCGACGCATATAGCGCGCAAGCGCTACCCACAGAAATTATTATGGGCGCACACAGAATCCTAAATATATGCGCCTAGGCATATACCATACCCCGCGATTACCCTGTTTATGTACGTAAGTCGTCTATTTTGACTAAAACGGAAACCAGGGTTTTTAATGATCCGAACAAAAGAGTAACTACTTGCACGAATCGTCAAACACTGAATTATACCAGTAGAAAAAGCAAACAAGTTTCAGTTTTGATAAAACGTATCAGAAAGTGATAAACTGACGAAATACTTTTGATTCGATGTTTTAAATTTTGTTAGTTAATCTTTTTTGACTGTCAGAGATGTCATTTAAGACAGAGGGACATCTGTAATACCCTCAAAAGTGTTGTCTATAGAAGCTTCTAGGGAAATTGAACTTTTACTCGTAATATTGAAGGTGAACTTCAGACTGAGCTAGTCGTTTGATCATCTACATAATCCTAATGAGGTTTGCGCCCCCCAACTAGGCCACCAACTTTGATACATTCAGGTAGGATACCATTGAAAAAGGGACGAACGATGAAGCTTATGCATTCTGTATTTTTTTAATAGTTCGAACATTTTCCACAGTTTCAGAACATCAAGAAACTCTACCTTTATACTTTGAAATCTACTTCATGAAAGCTGTAAGTATCGTTTTAGAATCATATACTCTTAAGACACCAATAAATCTTTTTTCCATGTGTAACAACAGCATGAAATTGGGAAGCATTGCAAAATTTGGCACTGAACGACGTGTATGCATTAGGTTGGCTAAATAATAATGAGTGGTGCGCTTGTTGAAATTTGAGTCGCAGCCTTCAACCAAGTATTACTTTACTATGCTACTACTATGCAACAACACTGTTTCCCTGGACTCACATTCAAATTGATAATTTAACAAGTTTCATACTTCTCAAACCATTATGAAACTGTAATCTGTTCAACTTAACTTTGAGGCAACTTTTCTCGTTTCCTGTGATAGATATCAAAAATTGGTTAACAGAATTTTTTTTTTGATAAATTGATGAAAACTTTGTCAGTTGACCTGATTTGATTTTCGGGCAAAATAGGTAAATGGTTTCCTAAAATTCCCTCAAAAATGGGAAATTTATAAGATTTTTAACTTCTTCGTACCCGCGTACTGATCAATTTAAACCATTAACCCAAAACTTCAGTATAGCATGAAACTGGAAAATTTTGGAACTTTGATGATAACTACAAACTACAAACTCACACTTGGCCACTTGCGACGTTTGCCACTCCACCATTCCGATGCTAACTCTAGATGACTTATGGGGTTTGATCTTGAACACTTTTATCTTTCCTTGCTTCTTTTTCTCCTCTTTTTCTTTCTGTTGGTTGTATTTGTATTTCTCGGCCGCCAATTCCTCTTCCAGCTGTGTCAAAGATTGATCTCCATACTCGGATGTGGTGACTGGGCGGGATTCTGAATAGATATAGGAGATTGAAGTCATTATTTTAAAGATTCTGAAATTTCTTACCTGAATGATAAACCACTTGATTCGTCGCATACTTTCTCTCATTGTCCAACTGCTCCTGACTGATTGGTGAGGCTGCTGGAGGTCCGCGATAGTTATCAGTGGTTGTGATAAGATCAGGAGCAGGTATTGAGTAAATTGGGGCAGAAGCTGGAGGAGCTGGAGGTGCTGGCGGAGAATATGAATATGAATAAGAGTTTTGAAATTGAGGAACCAGCGTTGGAGAGGCGAAGAAATTCGGATGAGTAGCTGGGAAGCGAGGAGGTGATGGAGCTGCAGCACATTGACAACAGTTACAGTTGTTGCCTGAAAATTGAAAGGGTCTGGAAGTTTTGGTTCCTATAAGAATCAAGGTTTGGACATAATATTGGAAAATCTGTGCTTAAACCAACTGAGCTCCGCGGTCTTAAGATGGCAACACAAGAAAGGTAAAGTACTGGACAAAACTACATATAGGATGGCCAATTTGGAAGTAGAATGTCTCACCTTGTGATATCACACTGCACGGTCTCCCAGCGTGAAATTTTTTTATTAGAAAACTACAGAAAAAATATCTCTGCGTCTCTTCATCTCTCACGCTATTTTATCCCAGTACAATTCTACACAGATTTAATTGGAAAACTGGATGAATTGTTAAGAACATCTCAAAAACGTTCAAAAATGAATTTTTTGTAAATTTTTTTACGGAAATCATATTCGAGATTGTCTGTAATAAGTTTCAACACTGACCTCAAACTATCAAGCCAGATATGAAGCTTTGAAAAACTTTTTCGGATTTTTCAATTTTTTGAGAAACTCCTCTTGTTTTATGAGGAAAATTAATTAACTTCATATCAGAAAACATGGGAAAATTGATATTTGATTGTTTTTTGCAAAAACGACACCCTCTAAGTAACGGGAAACGCCTCCAAAGTGCGAAATTATTCAATGTACTACTGTTTGACCCCTTACCATTCGAACAGAGACGAAAATCAAAAATCGAAGACGAAGGAATTGTAGAACAATCCATTACAAAACGTTTGGTCTATTGATCATTATGATCAGTTAGATACTCGCAAAGTTATGCAGGGTACAAATTTCAGTACGAAATTCCCAACAACCCCTGATTTTTGACATTTTTTCAAGATTTTCAAGAAAATGAGGACCTAAACCAAAAATCGAAGACGGAGGAATTGTAGCGATTGTCTCTGCGGCAATGATGACGTTTTTATTTTTTTTTTTATTCCGTAAAAACCTGATCGAGTTATGTACGGTTGAATGACACCGGTTTTTATCCATTTGGTGTTCATTGATTCGTAACTTTGCTCAAAATGCTCTATTTTCATGAAATTTTGTGCAGGTGATAGCTGAAGTCTTCAGTAACTTAGCAAATTGTTTTTTTTTCAAAGAATAGCTCAAATTCATGCTTTTCTGTGATTTCCATGACTCTAGTGATAAGTTGCTATCAGCCAAAAAGAAGAGAGGAGCGAGCGTGAAAAATTAAATTTGGCTAGAGTGCAGACGACGAGAGAACTTTTCCAAACATTTTCACTTTGGGAGACCGTGCACTGCAATATATATTAAAGCTTCGGTATTCGGGATTTCTTATAAGAACTTCATGAAACTTTAAAAAACCATAAAAATTTAGGAAACTTGTAAACTGAATTCCAGAAGGTTCAAAAGTCTGCGTTTATACTGTACTGGACAAAAAAGTATCACATGTTGACTTTTTCAGTGAAAACTAGTCGACTCTGACAAAAGTCTTACAAAAGTAGTCCAGAATTTTTCGATTTGTCTGAAATTTTCAGAATATACTAGACAAACATAGAGCTTTAATTTTGTAGTTGACAACTTTTTTGAACAAATCCATCTAAATAAGTTGAACCGATTGAAACAAACCAAGTGCCTAAACATCTAGAAATAGGTTTTCGGGACGCCTTGAAGCGGCATTTACATAGATAAAATTATAAGAAAACGGTATCAATTACAAACTTGAAGCTCTATTTGTGTTTAGCCGACTCTTGAATTTTTCAGAAAAATCCAAAATTCTATTAGTTTTTTCAGCATTTCAAACTTCAAACTTGACATAGGGATAGTTTTCAAATGGAATTTTTCCCGAAATTCAGTTTCTAGGTGTTTCAAACATAAGATTTTTTAATGTTTCATGAAGTTCATGTAAAATATTTCGGATACCAAAACTTTAATCCTACTATTTTTCCAAGTTCTATTTCAACTTTAGACATACTACATCCAAATTGGATTTAAATACCAACTACTGAAAAATCGCTTATTTTCAGTGATAGTTCACAGATATTTAATATGTTTCCCGGCATTGATGTAAACTTTTAGTTAAAAAAAAGAAGCTGGTCGGCTCCACAAAAAAAGTGTTTTCAAAAATTTGGTCAACTTTGAGTCTATATATCTGGTTTCCTGTGGAAGTTATCAAAAAGTGGTCAACCGATAAACGGTTGGTGATATTATGATAAAAATTTTATCAATTGATAACTTTTTGATATCTTTCACAGGAACCGAGATAAATTGCCTCAAAGGAACGATACCAAACAGTCTATGCCAATTTCATCAAGAGCGAATTATTGTTGGAAATTCTCCTACTAATTTAGAAACTTTGTGAAACAGAAATAGTCCCAAAAAAAACTTTGCTTACCTCCTCCAAAAAGTGTCCATAAAAATCCATGAATAGGTGTGATGATACCCATAAAAATCCACCAAATCCTCATCTTTTGAATCTATACCAAAGAAGAAGTGACACACGTCAATCAGAGTTCGAATGAAGAAGTTTTAGACAACGATGAAGCATCGTCGTCGAGATCTTTATCTCCCAGGAAACAGAAAAAGAACAAGAAGAAGAGGAAAGTGTCGATCTGTTTTGTCTAAAAAAATGAGTGAGCGAATTTGTGTTTTACAGTTGTTGGAGGCTAGAGGAAGTGTGAGAGAGAGAGAGAGAGAGAGAGAGAGAGAGAGAGAGAGAGAGAGAAAAGAAGCGTTCTAGAATGCTAGAAGGAAAGTTCAAGAAATTAACAAGTGACGGAATTTAAGAACGAATTGTTACATCGAGAAAATTACCGAGAAAATCACAATAAGTCGAATACCTTATGGAAGTAAAATTAACAGTTTCATCGGATTTTCATAATTGAGAGCTGAAAAAAAGAAACTGGTTTGTTATGGGTTGTGAAAAATATGACAAGTTAAAAAATTTATGATTAAGCTTAGCTCCTAAAAATTAAAAACTGACTAGCAGGAATCATTCCAATTGGAAAATACTCAACATTCAAATAGATGAAAACTTGTCGAAACGGAAAATAAACTTTAGAAAAACCCTCCTAGATCTGGAACCAAATTTTTAGAATGTTAGATTTCATTTCCTAACAAATTTCGGACCAAAAGTGGCAAACTCGTCATAGCATCGAAACAGTGATTAATAATGGTTTGTGAATTTTTAAGTATGCATTTTGGTGTGACGGTGTATAGTGATGCGTGTTTACACATTTCACTTTCTACCGTACCCCTTTATCAGTAGTCGAGCGTTGAATGCAACCGCGTAGCTCAGCTTCTAGCAAGCTTCAATGTTTGGCTCATCCTCTCCAGTGGCTCGAATCAAAAGGATTCCGAGATGATTATTTTTCTGACGTCTCCTTATTTTTAAATACTTGTATTTATTATAATGTTTTTAATATAAAACGCAGGTTGATTGTCAATTTTTCCAATTACATATTTTCTCATAAAACTGAAACTGTAAAATTTGTGAGAATGACAAGTATTACGAACGAATTTCAGGAGCCTTTTTTGAACATTCTGAAACAGTATATAACCTTTTTAACAAATTGTACTGAAAAACCGGAACAAAAAAATTTAAGTAAATTCAAAAAAAATTCGGGAGATTCCAATAGAATCACTGTGAGCTCAATTATCTCAAGTTCCGTAAAAGATATAAAAAAAGTGTCAACTGAAAACAAATGTTTATCATAGTATCACCAAAATTTTATCAGTTGACCAATTTTTGATATCTCTTACAGGAACCGAGATAATTGAGCTCAATTGCAGGTAGTATGACGACACCAGAAGTACCGTAATCAGAAATAAACGGCTTTCCTACTACCACTAGAGTTTGCAAAATTTGCTGTTTCAATATTTTCACTTTACCCAAATTAAAAAAATTAACTGATTATTCTTATATAAAAAAATTCCAAAGTATATAAAAAAATTATATAAAAAAATTCCAAAGTTTAATATACGAAATTCCGATTCCAAGAATTTCATTCCCTACACATTTCATTCTCCCGTTCTCTCTCTCTCTCTCTCTCTCTCTCTCTCTCTCTCTCTCTCTCTTTCTCTCTCTCTCTCTCTCTCTCTCACCTCAATAATTGAACTGTACACTTTCATAAAATATGGAATGGGATGGACAAAAAGGGACGAAAAATGTAACAAAGTGAAATCCATCTACGAGAATTGTTGCGTAAAGGAAGAAGAGAAGGTTGGGGACGGTTTTTTAAAGTGAAAGTGCGAAGATTGGTATCTTTTCAAAGTCTACCTTGTGAGGGCGTCCCTCTACCTGATGGGTATGACTAATGGAACGGTTGTAGTCTGGTGAGAGAGATTGATTTCTTTTAGAATTAAACAAAAAGAAAATTTAGTGATACTTCAAAGTTTGAAGTTTCAAGTAGGCCTTTAGAAAGATTTCCAGATATTTATAGTTTCAAAACTTCAATTTCAGAGAAAGGAAATAAAGTTAAGCTTGTTAGATATAGTTACTGAGCCGCTCGAAAATTCCACCTATCTAAAAAAAAGATTATTCTTTGGAAATTAAGATAAGTGGTATCCGGATTGCTAACAAAAAAATTCCTTTTTTTTTCAAAAAAAAAAAAAACTGAAAAATCGAAAAATAAATGTTTCAGAGAGTTATTGAAATGTCTGACACATTTCATATGGGTTTTTGTCATCGTCCTATTGATAAATTTGAAGTCTTGTAAACCGTTTGGTCTCAAAATTCAAACAGCGAAAGTGTATGTCTAGCGGAGCGCATATTGTTTGATTAATACGGTGGAAAAATGACGAGTTTTGAAAAACTAATGAAACTGGGAATTTTTTGAGAGCAATTTTAATGTTTCAACTGGCATTGAAAGTATGGAAAAGCTGGGGAAAAAACTATTTGTAAAGACATAAATAACGATTTTAGATATGCTCCTAAATTCTCCAAAAAATTAAGAAATTCAAAAGTTGAAGTGAAGACTTTGGATAATCTTTAAACTAGTAGTCTTGAGAGCGTCCATGCTTTATGGAGACTTTCGAAAGTAGCAAAAGTGAAAGAGAAAAAAGAACAAACCAGATGATAGTGGGAAACAATTTGGTTTTTATTTTACTGGATGACCATTTGAAAAGGGCAAAACTAAAACTAAACTTCTTGACACTAAATTTTTAAGGTTTCTTAAAGTGAAACGCACAATAAGAAAACTAGAGATGAAAGTTTTCAAATAAACTTGTTAAAGAATGGTTCTCAATTTGGACCCATTTCCTCTTGGTTCCTGTGAAAGGTATCGAAAAGTGATCAACTGACAGCATGTTTATCATTTTCTCAAAAATATTCTCAACAATAATTACAATTTCAAATCTTTGTTTTATTCGGAGTGCACGTCAAACATCAATACCAGACCAAATTTAGGATCCCAATGAACAAGTAGAAGAAGCGAACATTTTTGTACTAACTAGATGTTCCAAAACTTCAATAAATTGAACAATTTCTTGAATGTTTTTTCTTCATCGCACTGATAATCATCGTAATAGAGCAAATTTTTTGAAGGCTACATAATCACATCTTCAAACAACGTTGATATTACTAACTGAATTATTCAAACGTTTTGGAAACTGAAAAAAATCTTTTATGTTTCTAGAAGTCGATAACAAATGTAATTTTAGAATATTAGTACTTGATTTAAACCCGTTATTTCTGAAAAAATATTAATGTTCAAATCTTGAAGAAAACCCGAAAATTCTGAAAAAGCGCTTATAGAAAAGATTAGTTTGTTAAAACCAGTTTCAAAATATTAATATACTTATAGAATGGATATCACTCATAGGATCTGAGATATTGGGTCAAAGTTGGACTTTTTGATTACAGACTACACCATCAAACGAAAAAGCTAAAATGAGTACACCCGTCGTTGGAAGCCATGAAATCCTGAAAGTGAAATGGAAATTTTATGAAGATGGTTCAAATTTGACCTCCCCTTTCCTCCCAATTCCTCCTCCTTTCTCCCCCAATAGAAAACTTTCTCTTGAAAAGGAAAAATGCTTTTGTTATGCCACAGGCGTCGTTTCAACGGTCATTTGACCGATGATTACCCCTCCGAATCTCGTATTTTGGCTTTTTTTTCGTCTTCTTCATAGACCGGATATATGAAGACTTAAGGTTTAGTCACACCATTGCTAAAGGAAACAGCCAGGTGGTTTGAATAGGGTCATATGCAAATTCGAAAATCGGTGATCAGGGGGGGGGGGGGGTGTAAGGAAGTGCATTTGGGAAGGAATAGAAGAGTATGAAGTTTCTGTGAAAAATGGAATCTAGGGAGTCATCACCTTTGAGCTTAACTATCTCTGCTCCTTTCATAGATATCAAAAATCTGTCAACTGATAAAATGTTTCTTATAATATGACCAACATTGTTTTAGTTTTCTCTGTTTGAAGTTCTTTATAGAAGACTGAAATGGGAGTTTTCCACAATTTGCGGATTTTAAACTTGAGAAAATTATTGAGTCAAGGTTTATCGGTATATTCAGGAAAATAGATTCTCAAGTTTGTTTTTCAATTTGATTTTCTGGTATTCACAAAAAATGGCTGAAATCCTCCATAACTTTCATCGTCTCCTATGTATATACAATTTGAACAAGATTTTTTTTTCACATATTTGCTTCTCATTTTCAGCCCAAACTGCATGAATTGTCTGCTTTTAGTTCCAGGAGTTGAATTAATTATCTTCAAGTACACAGCAAATTCCTTCAGGACACTATATTTGTTTCTAGGTCTTCCACCAGGACCCAGGACCCAGGACCCAGGACCCAGGACCCAGGACCCAGGACCCAGGACCATCCCGGATTCAGGACCCCGGATTCCGGATCCCTCTTCCTCTCTGGAGCCCAGAGAAGGAAAGAACTGATTCTTCCCTCTGCTTCCCTTTTCCTTTATAGTGCTCTCCCTGAGGTCATAGGTTTCTAAACCAATTCACGTAGTCATTGTCGTCTAGAATTTTTGACTTTTTTGAGAAATATTTTTTTAATCACGTTTAAATAACATTTGAATTCTCAATTTTGAAATCTGTGAAATTTCTAAAAAAGATGGCTCATTCGACCCTAATTATCTCGTTTCCTTTTTGAGATATCAAGAAATGTTTAACTAATAAAATGTTGCTGATATCAAGAGAAGCATTTTCGCATTTGATTTTTTAAATATCTTTTACAGGGTAAACTGAGTTTCTAAAATACCTAATTTTTTGGGTTCGATTGAAAGGATCTTTTTTTTGCTGTTTCAGTTTCAGATCTGCTATCTCAGAATTCTCTGTTTTTCAATTCTATATCCTTATGATGAATTTTGCATTCTGGCGGGTCAGAAATAACTGAAACAGTTGGATCAGAACTAGAAAACTTGAAAAACACCCATATTTTAAGATGTCAGAGAAACAGAGATAAAAGTTTTCTGAATATCCCAATATTCCGAAATATCAGAAACT